TAAAAAAAATGTTATTTTCGATCATCTTCAGACTTCGTATAGTGATGTGTCTTTTAATTCACAGACAATATGCCTCAAAGGACATGTTATTTTTTTATATTACAAAAATAAGTTTTCTTTTACTACCACAGCAAAAATTGTTAGTGAAACATTTGGTTGTCAAACAACAAAAAATCAAATTAGACATTTAATAAACAACAGTGTTAATAAATTCAAAAAGCACATCTCAAGGGATATGTCAAAGCTTGAAAAAATTTGTTCAGAAGTTTTCTCTGGGGCAATAGTTGTTGAAGCTACTAATGACTTTTCATCAGCATCTACTGAAGCCTTTGTTGAACTTTCTCAGCAAAATGTTTCGGTGGTTGTGCCAATAGAAGAAGTTCAAGTTGAAGATCCAAGAGGAGCCTATTTAACACCTATAAAAGCTAAATTAAAACAGCGTCTTTCTTTATTATCACAATCACGTAGTGATGAAAGAAAAAAATACAAAGAAGCAATTTTTAACTCAAAGAGCAAACTTAAACAAATGCCCATTCAAGTAAGACTTTTAAAGAAAAACATTTGGAAAAAAAATATTATTATTTGCAATCTTAAAAAAAAATTAAAATCGATTAAAGTTGAAGCAGGGCAACAAAATTGCAAAAGGCTTTTGTTATTATTAAAAAGACAGAGACAAAAATATCAGCAACTTAAAAAACAAAATGCTGAAATTATACAACTAAAACAAAAACTTGTTATAAATTCTCAAGTAATTAAATCACTTGAACATCAAAATCTTCTTCTTGAAGAGAAGATTAATAATTTAGAATCCAGTTTAATGGTTACTAAGAAAAACAAAAAAACATATAATACAGAACTACGAACACTTGTTTTTGATGCTGTAATTAATCAAGTATCTGCAAATTGCATTTCTTCTTTAATTCAAAGTTTTAGCCAACATCTAGGTCTTACCATTAAAACTGTTCCTTGCCGCAATACTGTCGAACAAATGGTGAGGGAACTAGGTGTTATCACTGACCTCCAAACAGCAGAAATTGCTATATCTGAAGAGAATTTAACGCTTGGATTTGATGGCACAACTCAGGAAGGTGTACATGCCAGCTGTATTCACCTTACTACTAAAACTGGTTGCCATGTTGTAGCACTAGATGAGTTAAGTGGTGGCACATCAGAGGACTATGAGCAGCATATATGTCAATCCATAGACAACTTAGCCAAAACTTATGCCTCTTTCCATTTAAAAGATTTTTACGAATGTCGTCAGACTATAATTAACAACATAGCTAATACAATTTCAGATCGAGCAGTTACAAACCATGCCACAATAAAAAAGTTAAGTCTGGCATGGAACAAAACCTTCAATGAGTTGAACTGTCATCTTCATCCTCTAGAAACATTTTCCAGTAGATGTAGATCTGCACTTGCAGTAATAGAAACAGAAAAAGGGAAATTATTTGGTAGCGATTGCATGGCCGGAAATATTGTTGTGCAACTAAATAAACTTCGGTACATGGATGGAAAAGGTGATCCTAAAGGATTTGTTTTATTTTTATTAAAAGAAGAACTTCCCAAGGGTTTACTTCCTAGATACAGAGGAAATCGCTTGCATATTTTTTTTCATATTTGTGGAGTATTAATTCTACATTATGACGTTTTTAAAACATTTCTGACATTAGGTACTCTTTCATGCGTTCGATTACAAGCCAGTTTATCTACTGACTTTGCAAACAATATTGCTAAACGAGAACTTTGTGTTGCTGGGTTAATAGGAAAACTTATAACTAGTCCTTGGATGAAAAAATTTTATGTTTCAGCCGAAAAACAAATCTCTCATTTGGATGGTATTGTCATTATTAAAAAAGTCCTGGATATGGTTGACCAATGTCTAAAAAATCCATTACAAATTTTATCAAGATCAAAAAATTTCTTTGATGAAGAATTTGATAAAAGATCTTGTCTGGAAGGCTCTCATTGAATTCTGCCCTAAAGACGACAGTATGAAAAAAATGATACTTGTTTGCTTGACTGCTATATCTGAAACAATCAATAGGCAATATGAAAAATACTTCAGTATGAAACCCACAGAACAAATGGAATTGGAAACTGAATCTGCAAGGCTACACAACATGGATGCTGAGGAAGTGATGGGAATGTTTAGTGCAGCTCAGAAATTTGCACCTAATGCAACTCTTTGTTACCTATCATCAAGACTGCGTGCCAGAAAAAATAATGTTAACAACTATTTAAACAGTCTTCCAAAACATGTTAAAGAGTCTGTTGTGGAGTGGGCCATTAATTTTGCAACAAAAAGAAGAGAGAATAGATTAAAGATGTCTGAAGTGAATAAGGAGATGACACGCAGAGCAGAGCAAAAAAGGCAAAAAAAAGATACAAAAGAAAGGAAAAAAATAGAAAAAAAATTAAAAGTAATAAGTATAAGTGTTGAAACTTTTGAGAACGAGTTTCCAGACATTAGTGAATCAAATTTTAATGATATTTTGAGTGTTATGTCTGGAACTGCCATAGGCAGAAATATATGCCATATTTGGTATGAAGATGAAAAAAAGATTATATATAATGGAAAAATTGAAAAAATAAAAAAAAAGATACAGGATACATATGTTGTTGCTTATTGGAACAAGGATGAAGATTATAATGATGCAATAGACTATGATATTCCAAAAGTTCAACTTGCTTGTGACATTATACTTGGTGATCTCATGATGGCATGAACATCTTTAAACCAATCACTTTAATTCATAAACTAATATTTATTATTATTTTCACTTAAATACACTCTAAGGTTTATTTAAATATATAATATTTGAGTTAAGTCACAAAAATTTAGACCAATATACATTTTTTTGATAAAAAAAATAATTTTTGGGTCCAACTTTTCATAGCCTCTCCATATATAAAAAATCACAACTTAAAAATCTCATAACTTTTGAAATACTCGACCTTCAGAGATAGTTTTAGTATTTTTAGAAAATTCAAAATTAAAGGCATATATTTATGTAAAAAATATTGTTTTATTTTAAAATTTCAAAATTTCCTCACATCCCTATATATATATATATATATATATATATATATATATATTGTATATAAAAATAATGTTAGTGTTATTATTTACAAATTGAGTGCTCAATGATCTTAAAAAACATATAAGTTATATTTTATAACTGTATATTAGTATTTGTTATAACACATACTAATACAATGTGTGTGTGTGTGTGTATAACACATACTCACATACTAATATATATTAGCATGTGTTATATATACACACACACACACACATATATATATATATATATATATATATATATATATATATATATATATATATATATATATATTGTATATAAAAATTATGTTAGTGTTATTATTTGCAAATAGAGTGCTCAATGATCTTAAAAAACATATAAGTTATATTTTATAACTGTATTTGTTATAACACATACTAATACAATGTGTGTGTGTATAACACATACTCACATACTAATATATATTAGTATGTGTTATATATACACACACACACACACATATATATATATATATAAATATATAAATATATATATATATATATATATATATATATATATATATATATATATATATATATATATATATATATATATGTGTGTGTGTTATAACACACACACATATATATATATATATATATATATATATGTGTGTGTGTGTGTGTTATAACATATACTAATATTAATGTGTGTGTTTGTGTGTGTGTATAAACACACACACACAGAGACACACACACACACACAGACACACACACACAAACACACACACACAGACACACACAAACACACAGACACACAGTTATAAAACATAACTGCTATGTTCTTTAACACACACACACACACACACACACACACACACACACACACACACACACACACACACACACACACACACACACATACATATGGTGATGATTTTTAATGTTTACTTTTAAGATACTTTAGTCATGTTGTAGATACTTTAGCCATGTTATGATTTATTAGAGCATGACTCAATCATAGATGCATAACAGCCTAACCTAGATGACACCCTAAGCATCCACCCTAACCATAAGTTATGTATTTGTCTCTGTTCTGCTAATTAATCTAAAGTTGTTGCAAAGGGATCATTATCTGACATCAACAATTTGCAATAAAATTTATAAAAAGGAAGGCTATCTTTGAATAACATGGCACTGTTAATACTGTTAATACCAGTCAGAGTTAAATTCAAGTTCTTTTTTGAAATAAATAAGTTCTGCTACATGTTATGTTGGAGTTTCACATTTTAGCAGGAGCAGGTTGAACAATGATGACTTTAATTCTAACCTAATAATGAGATTAGTTATCAAATAAGCTGTCAGCTGTAGAACAAAAACTCCTCAGTGTATTGTATTAAAAAAAAAAAAATTAATACTATATATTGAGACTACTCTTTCTTGAATTCTCTTAAAAATACACTATCTTGAATTTACATCTCATATAAAGGTTAAATTTTTGTGTGACATGTTGTATGTGGTCTACAACTAAGGCACATAAAAGGTTTATTTTCCTCAATTTTTGTACTATTCTCTTAACTCTTTGTATTGTCAACTTTTAACATTCTTTTTAAAAATATAAAAAAAAAGTAACTAAAAATAAAACTAAAAAATGAAAATAAAGAAAACTGCAACTTTTATGAGTTTATGATGAAACTGTTTTTTTGTTGAATGTTCACCTATGTCTTTTTTTTTTTAATAATTTATGTTTCATGTTTTGGTAAAACTTTTCTCACATTCCTACCACAAAAAAAAAAAAAAAAAATTGTAGTATTTAGAAGTTAATTTTTTTCACACCACTTCAAAAACAGTACTCATCTTAAAAACATTAATTTTAGAAATTAACTATTTTTGCACAACCTTAAAAGCAAGCTTTTTTATAAAACAGAGTTTAAAAATCTACGGTCAATTTGCAGTCTTTGTTCTTACTTTTTAGATATCGCAAGTGCTAAAGCTAACATAAGTATATCTGGTACAATTTGGAAAAATCAGTATGCATTAAACACAAGCAATGAATATAAAGAATTATTAAACAAGTTTTTAAATCAAGTAAGCAATTTTTTTTTTTTTTATTATTCAAAGTAATCATGAGTTTGAACATTGTTTAATCAATCTTTAGGTAAACAAAACATATAGAAAGTATCATTTTTATAAATTAACCCTAAATTAACTGTGCAATATATTGTAAAATATTGCTTCCTTGAAATAAAAAAAATTAGCAATTACAGCCCTTCTACTCTTTCCAAATAATCAACAACAAGTTGAATAAAAAGGTTTTATTCCTCTTAATTAAGTTATAAATCAATGCAAATTGATAAAGTTCATTAAATAATTAATTTAGTACATACCTTTTTAATTTAGTACACATTTTTTAATTTTACATAATACTTTTGTAATATAGTACATACTTTCTTAATTTAGTTCATACTTTTTTAATTTAGTACATACTTTTTCAATTTAGTGCATACTTTTTTAATTTAAATAGTTGCAGAATGGGTTTTCGTCAGCTTTTTTTACAAAAGGATTACAGTATCAAGGAGTTCAATTTTATAATAGGTAATTATTTAGCTTATTACATTATGTGATTCTTTAATTTATTACAATAAGTAATTTTTCTTTCATTACAATAGGTAATTATTTCATTACAATAGGTAATTCTTTATTTCATTACAGTGGGTAATTCTTTATTTCATTACAATAGGTAATTCTTTATTTCATTACAAATAGGTAATTTCATTAATTTACAAAATTATATACAGATAAACATTAGGGTGTTCTTAAAACACAACTTTTTCACAAAAGTGAAAAGGTTTAAAACATCTTAATTATATACTTCAAATAAAAGATAAATGTCAAATTTATTGTTAGTTCACTGAGCCTTTAGAAAGTGTTTTTTAATGCAGCCATGGTGCATTTTTGTGGTTGAAGTTTTGGCTCAGAAGAGGTATGAGGTTTGATGCTAGTTCTAGCCCAATAAATGACATTAGTAAGGAAGGAGATGTGAACTTCTTAGTTAAATTCTCTTCCGTGATGCTCAGATAAGACCATAAGAACTTTTGGGAGCACCATAACAACCACACAAAAAGTGTTGTTTGTAGATTTTTATTTTTCTCCAAAATGTTGCGTATTGTCTCAATTTTTAATGTGATTATCTGTCAGAAAATTTAAAACTTGATAAATATTTTTTTCAATTTAAATTTTTTATTTATACACTAGATATTTCAGTTTTATAAACAAAATAGTTTGTAAACCTGAAACGGAAATAAATGTCTACAAATACTCAATCAGGAATCCAATCAGGAATCAAGTAGTTTATCTTGCAATTTAAAAAAGTAAGCAAAAAAAAAAAAAAAGAGAAAATACCAGCTGTTTTTTGATTTCTTAAAGTTTGAAATCAGTTTTTTTGGTGCTTTAGTTTTTTCTGTTAGTACTTGCACACTTAATTAACTTTACAACAACATACACACTAATAAATTGAGTTTGTCCATTATTTGCAACAGTGTTAGATGCTGATGTCTCTTCTTTAGACTTCAAAATCTTTCAGTACATTTCGTTTTGCCTTATTCTTGCTTGTAGATGAGTTTGCTTGTACAAAATATTACTACTGTTATCATCCTCAGGAGCTTGTGTAATGCTTATTGAAATCCTTTCCATTTTACAATAATATTATTTTAAGACCCAATTTATTATACAATATGCTATCAAAGTGAAGGACAAGTTTCTTACAGATGTAAACACTTTTTAAATATTTTTAATTCTATTCCCTTGTTTTTTGATGGTATGAAATCTTATTCTATGGGTTTTTGATTTTGAAAAAAAAATAAGTACAAGTTATGCCCTGAATTCTTCAGAATTAAAGAAATAATTGTTCTACTACCCACTAGACCAAGATAAAATCTTGGTGCTACTTTTTTATTAATCTATTCCCCCGTTTTGGCTTAATTAGACAAAGTTTCATGGTAGATTTAAAGTTTTGGCTTAATAAGACAATGTTTAATAGTAGATTTAAAGTTAATGGTTTATAAGTTTTTTTTTAGACACTGTTTAAAAGTTTTGCATTTTTAGCATTAAAAGTTTTGCATTTTTAGCTCTCTAATTCAAATCTAAAATTTTTGTTACTTTAATCTGATTTAAAGTAGCTTATATTATTTTGGCATAAAGTTGGAACTGTTGGCCAAAGAGACTGCCAGGTTTTATGTCACACTAATAAAATCTTTTTTTATTCAAGAGTATTTGTCTTGTAACAATAGAAAAAGGTTTTTTAAAATTTGAACAAAGCACTAAAAGTCATAAATGGGACAACAAGATAAATTTGAGGGGGTCTCAGCCCATTTAAGCATTTTAAATGTTTATTCAAAAAAAAAAAAATCTATAAAAAATTGAAAAAAGTATTTAAAAAATTAAAAGTATCACAAATGGAACAAAGGGTAAAATTGAGAAAGTTTAAGCTCATTTAAGCACTTTAGATGCATACTTAATGTATAAATTTATTTAGTAAATAAATGTATAATTAGGAAATGTATATATTAAATTTCAAATAATTTAAACAAAATTTAAAACACCAAAAATAATTGAAGATATTTACAATATTAGTTTATATATGGTAAACAATATTAGTGTATATAAATTTGAATAACATTTTATCCTGTTCAAAAACAGCATGTGAAAGTTAATTAGCGTAAAAATGCAAAATTAAAATTTTATTATTTCTAGTAAAATAAAAAAATAAGTATTATAGTTTAAGTTTATATTCCTAATCAAAAATTTGATTTTAGATTTGCATTCAATAAATGTTTGTTGTTTGATTTATTTTATATTATTTTTATAAGATTTTGTTTAGGAATAATTATGTTGGCGCATTGATAAACCTTTTTTATCAAATTCAAGGAGGTGATCGTATTGAAAATTGTAGACAAATTTCCGAAGTCAAATTTGGGTCGAATTTTCCTGTTAACTTTATAAAACCTTGTGGTAACATTTTTTTGATATTTATTTATAAAAAAAAAGTTAAAAAATTATAATTTTTTTTTTTTAATTTGAATTCACCTGCCCAAGGACGAGAAGGCTACTTAAATGTGATTATAACCCTCTCTTAACTCTATAACTTCGAAACACAAACCTTGAGAACGGTACTACTAGGGACGTGGTGAGAATCAAACTTGGAATCTCTTGCTTATGATGCAAGCCCTTTACCACTGGTTTAGTTAAAGATAATTTCAACATAAAATAACTGTCAAAAATTTATACTTCTTTCAAAAATCATATGAAATGAATTTACGTGCTGTTATTGCATTGGAAAGTTACACACGCCTGCCAAGTTAATCATTGGCTCAGCAGGGTCAATGGAAGCTGCTGAAGCTCAAGAAATATTCCAATCATCCATACAAAAGTATGATTTAAGATATACCTTAGAAATAATGACATTTTAGTGATCATTTTAGTGAAGATTGTATTGTAGAGCTTAAAGTCCTCTAATAGTTATGAAAAAAAATTTATTAAAGAAATAATAAGAAATTTTATAATTAGAAAAAAAAACTTGATGTTTAGAAACTTGCTTGAGTTATTAACAATAAGATTATGTTTAACATTAAAAATTATACCAATTTAGATTTGTGTCTAATGTGAATTAGATAGGCTTATGTTTAACATGAATTAGCAAACACTATGGGTTTATGTCTAATATAAGTTAAACAACAAAATGATGGGTTTAACATGTCTAGAGTTTGTGGTCTTAACCACATTCTTGATACAGTTTTACAAAGTTTTTTTACAGAACTCAATTAGAATAGTATAAAAAAAAATACAAAAGTATAATTTTTTCTCTCAAAAGTATGATTGTTGTTGTAACTAAAAAAAAAAACACTCTTATAAAAAAATATAATAATTAAGTTGCATAATTAACTGCAAAATGCAAGATTGTTCCACACAAAAAAAATTAAAAAAGAGTGCTGATTTAAATGCAATGTTTTTAATTAGATTATTAGACTATTACAGTAAGAATTTTAAAATATTTTTTATAAGCATTAAAAACTTAAAGCTATTTGTCAAATTTTTTATCAAACAAGTCAAATAAATGGATAGCTAGGCTGAAAACCCAAAGACAACACTTGTCTAAAGAATTTTATAGGAGTAGAGGAGTAGCTCGCATGGCTTGCCAAGATTCCTTTTAGAAGAGTTTTTCTCCGCTTTTGCACTCATTTGCTCTTGTCGAAGCCTCTGTATATATATATATATATATATATATATATATATATATATATATATATATATATATATATATATATAACTAAAATTCCTTGTTTAGATAATACATACATTGACTATCAAATAGCCTGACCCACAAGGGGGTGCTGCTACATCTTCTTTTTCTAAAAAGTAAAACTAGTGAGAAAATGATTATATAAATAGGCTATAGAAGATTTATATATATATATATATATATATATATATATATATATATATATATATATATATATATATATATATATATATATATATATATATATATATATATATATATATATATCCAATTACTTGGACTATAAACCAGTACAGAAATTTTACTAACCAATTTATTTCTGTCTATTAAAAATAAAGTTTTTGTCAATGAAGGAATTTGAAATTGATGGTGATGTAACGCTTGATACTTGTAAATCTTATAATAATTAACAGTTAGACAGTTAATATCCTTTGCTAATTGAATTTCATGGAGTTCCTGCTCCTAAAGTGTTATTTAATCGCAACAGTAAATGAAAATTAGCTAAAGCCTACACAAAAATGGAAGAATGAGTAGCAAGTTGGCAACTAGTCTACCAATAGTTAACTAAGTTCAAATTCATCTTTTGCCTTTTGAAGTAGAAAGGATTTGAACTTAGTTAATAAATATTGGTAGACTAGATGTGCAAAATCAATTTTTTTATCCATGCAACTTGTTTAACAAGCTTTGTGTTTCAGAGTATAGAGTTGAGAGACTTGAAAAATATAGTAACATTAAAATTTTGTGTCAGCAATTTTTGGTTTTTTTTTGCTTCAAGCTGGAGTAAAATAAGTGTTTTTATTATTTTAAGAAAGTTTTAGAAAATAAGAAAATTTATAAGAAAATAAGAAAATTTATAAGAAAATAAGAAAATTTATAAGAAAATAAGAAAATTTATAAGAAAATAAGAAAATTTATAAGAAAATAAGAAAATTTATAAGAAAATAAGAAAATTTATAAGAAAATAAGAAAATTTATAAGAAAATAAGAGTTTATAAGAAAATAAGAGTTTATAAGAAAATAAGAAAATTTATAAGAAAATAAGAGTTTATAAGAAAATAAGAAAATCTATAAGAAAATAAGAGTTTATAAGAAAATAAGAAAATCTATAAGAAAATAAGAGTTTATAAGAAAATAAGAAAATCTATAAGAAAATAAGAGTTTATAAGAAAATAAGAGTTTATAAGAAAATAAGAAAACTTATAAGAAAATAAGAGTTTATAAGAAAATAAGAAAATCTATAAGAAAATAAGAAAATTTATAAGAAAATAAGAGTTTATAAGAAAATAAGAGTTTATAAGAAAATAAGAAAATTTATAAGAAAATAAGAGTTTATAAGAAAATAAAAGTTTATAAGAAAATAAGAGTTTATAAGAAAATAAGAAAATCTATAAGAAAATAAGAGTTTATAAGAAAATAAGAGTTTATAAGAAAATAAGAAAATTTATAAGAAAATAAGCAAATTTATAAGAAAATAAGAGTTTATAAGAAAATAAGAAAATCTATAAGAAAATAAGAGTTTATAAGAAAATAAGAAAATCTATAAGAAAATAAGAGTTTATAAGAAAATAAGAAAATCTATAAGAAAATAAGAGTTTATAAGAAAATAAGAAAATTTATAAGAAAATAAGAGTTTATAAGAAAATAAGAAAATCTATAAGAAAATAAGAGTTTATAAGAAAATAAGAAAATCTATAAGAAAATAAGAGTTTATAAGAAAATAAGAAAATCTATAAGAAAATAAGAGTTTATAAGAAAATAAGAAAATCTATAAGAAAATAAGAGTTTATAAGAAAATAAGAGTTTATAAGAAAATAAGAAAATCTATAAGAAAATAAGAAAATTTATAAGAAAATAAGAGTTTATAAGAAAATAAAAGTTTATAAGAAAATAAGAAAATTTATAAGAAAATAAGAGTTTATAAGAAAATAAGAAAATTTATAAGAAAATAAGAGTTTATAAGAAAATAAAAATTTATAAGAAAATAAGAAAATTTATAAGAAAATAAGAGTTTAAAAGAAAATAAGAGTTTATAAGAAAATAAGAAAATTTATAAGAAAATAAGAGTTTATAAGAAAATAAGAGTTTATAAGAAAATAAGAAAATTTATAAGAAAATAAGAGTTTATAAAAAAATAAGAAAATTTATAAGAAAATAAGAGTTTATAAGAAAATAAGAAAATTTATAAGAAAATAAGAGTTTATAAGAAAATAAAAATTTATAAGAAAATAAGAAAATTTATAAGAAAATAAGAGTTTATAAGAAAATAAGAGTTTATAAGAAAATAAGAAAATCTATAAGAAAATAAGAGTTTATAAAAAAATAAGAAAATCTATAAGAAAATAAGAGTTTATAAGAAAATAAGAAAATCTATAAGAAAATAAGAGTTTATAAGAAAATAAGAAAATCTATAAGAAAATAAGAAAATTTATAAGAAAATAAGAGTTTATAAGAAAATTAGAGTTTATAAGAAAATAAGAAAATTTATAAGAAAATAAGAGTTTATAAGAAAATAAGAGTTTATAAGAAAATAAGAAAATCTATAAGAAAATAAGAAAATCTATAAGAAAATAAGAAAATTTATAAGAAAATAAGAGTTTATAAGAAAATAAGAGTTTATAAGAAAATAAGAAAATTTATAAGAAAATAAGAGTTTATAAGAAAATAAGAAAATCTATAAGAAAATAAGAGTTTATAAGAAAATAAGAAAATCTATAAGAAAATAAGAGTTTATAAGAAAATAAGAAAATCTATAAGAAAATAAGAAAATTTATAAGAAAATAAGAGTTTATAAGAAAATAAGAGTTTATAAGAAAATAAGAAAATTTATAAGAAAATAAGAGTTTATAAGAAAATAAAAGTTTATAAGAAAATAAGAGTTTATAAGAAAATAAGAAAATCTATAAGAAAATAAGAAAATTTATAAGAAAATAAGAGTTTATAAGAAAATAAAAGTTTATAAGAAAATAAGAGTTTATAAGAAAATAAGAAAATCTATAAGAAAATAAGAGTTTATAAGAAAATAAGAGTTTATAAGAAAATAAGAAAATTTATAAGAAAATAAGAGTTTATAAGAAAATAAGAGTTTATAAGAAAATAAGAAAATTTATAAGAAAATAAGAGTTTATAAGAAAATAAGAAAATCTATAAGAAAATAAGAGTTTATAAGAAAATAAGAAAATCTATAAGAAAATAAGAGTTTATAAGAAAATAAGAGTTTATAAGAAAATAAGAAAACTTATAAGAAAATAAGAGTTTATAAGAAAATAAGAAAATCTATAAGAAAATAAGAGTTTATAAGAAAATAAGAGTTTATAAGAAAATAAGAAAATTTATAAGAAAATAAGAGTTTATAAGAAAATAAGAGTTTATAAGAAAATAAGAAAATTTATAAGAAAATAAGAGTTTATAAGAAAATAAGAAAATCTATAAGAAAATAAGAGTTTATAAGAAAATAAGAAAATCTATAAGAAAATAAGAGTTTATAAGAAAATAAGAGTTTATAAGAAAATAAGAAAACTTATAAGAAAATAAGAGTTTATAAGAAAATAAGAAAATCTATAAGAAAATAAGAGTTTATAAGAAAATAAGAGTTTATAAGAAAATAAGAAAATTTATAAGAAAATAAGAGTTTATAAGAAAATAAGAGTTTATAAGAAAATAAGAAAATTTATAAGAAAATAAGAAAATTTATAAGAAAATAAGAGTTTATAAG